ACCCATTAATACAAGTTAAATACCTTAAAACTGATTTATTGAAATCGCCAGAGGCCCTTCTAATGCATGATTTTGCATAAAACGAAAAATACTTAATTATTATCAGTATGTTCCTTTATGGAACTCACGCCTTGCTGAAAAAATTTTCAAACGAATAATTTTCTGACACATGGATAAAAACAAAAATTGAATTTGGAGATGTGACAACCCAAAAAAATGCGGGTTTCTTTTTGAGACCTAAAAAATACGTGGTAGATCTCTTGACCCAAAATCAATACCGGAAACGAAAATTGTCAACCCAAAAAAATACGTCGGACTTCCCCATGTTACCCCCTTGAGTACACCCCCTGGGAGAGGTTCGGTCTGGTGACCTCAACTGAGAATTAGAAAGATCTCTAACCCATATTTCATTATTCCAAACAAAGTAAGAACAAAGTTTCTGGAAATATGTCGATATTGTATGAAAATTATATTGAAATATGATAAAAATCGATGGTCGTGCAACCTTGGTCGTGATATTTTTTTTTGGAAATAAAGTTGGCACGAGGCATAGCCCAGTGAATGTATGCGCGGACATGCGGCGATCCATATCGATCTTGCACGCTGAACGGAAAACACGCAAGATATGTTCGTATAAAAATATCTGTTCTCCCCCCCAAAAAAATGATTTAACATCACCAAAACCGGAAAAGGTTAGACTACAATACATCCTCTATAGTGTGGCGAAGACGATTAAGGAGTTTGATGTAAAAGATACTCCCAAAATCGCCAAAATGTAATGATTACTTTGATGTAAGGATGTTGAAGAAATATCAACCTGGTCTCTGGAATTTGTCTTTGGAAAAGTCAAGTTTAGGAGACCAGAATAGCTTAATATGGCTCGAAGTTGTACACGAAAAGATGGATAGATACACTGTAGTCTAGAGGGAAAGCTGTCGTTAAGTATGGAGAACTGTGGTGAACGAAGAGAGAAGGACAATGAAAGAGAAGGCAGCTCATCGTTCATCGAAGAAAGAGAGGCTCTTCGTTCTTATCTCGAAAAAGAATCTCTTAGCCATTTGGATAACATTTTTCCTCCTTATATTTCATTGGATTTTTTAAAAAGCCTTACTGAGGACGACTTGGAACATGATTTTCGTGTCAAAGACGCTAAGCAAAGACTTGAACTCATGCAAGCAGTCGTGAAACTACGAGACGAAGACTCTGACAACGACGAGCATGAGGTTGGTTTGTTCGATATTTGTTATTCTTGTAAACTTAATATTATCAAACTTATCTCTTAATGATCTGCCATAAGCATTACTCCAAGTCTTATTCTATTTATTTTGGCTTCAAAATATTCTAATTTTGAATTCGGTTTTTTTTCCGGAAGAAATTTTCGGAAGTGCAAAAGGTTGTTTTCGTGAGACATGGGTTGGTGAGTGATATTTTCTCGATTTTTGCTTTGCTTTAATTTCTGTTTCGCCATTGATGAATTATACAATTTTAAATATTAGTAATAGATATATTTTCAATTTCTAAGGTTGTTTAGAGTATACTAAACACTCCGAGAAGTCTTTATTATTTTCCAAAACACGGTACTGCTTGATTTATTAAAGACTTGATATAACAAAATAGCTCTCCATGATCACACAACTGTGAAAAATAATTTTCAAAACAAAATGACTCTTTTTTGTTTAATATCTTTATTTTGGCTGTGAATGAGCGCAATTTGCATTTCTTTTCAATTTCTCCGGATATAAACTCATCACTGTGTGCTGTGTACATCCTAGTATGTAGGCCTTTGTACATCTATGCGAAATCTATGCTAGAAACACCAATATTTGACAAAATATATAGGGCATGCATTACACATAAATTTAATTCCAAATCTCCTCTCATATTTTCTCAATGTAATATAAATTCAATACATGTAAAAGCTTGGATAGTATATCATCGAATATCAAGAAAAGCTTGTGAAATCATATTTCCTAGGAAGTGTCAATATCGTCAATAATAAGATCCATGATTGACATATTATTAGCTTATTGTAGATCGTAAAGTTTCAGTTTATGACCAGACGATTCGTTATTCATTCCATCAACCGGTAGTCGGCATGAAAGGCTCTCAGCAGTAAACAGCCTTAAAAGGCATGTGAAATGAAATTGATCCTAATGTCTACTTCACTTCACCATACATTTATATGCATTTGAACGTATATATAAACCCTAGTCTGAACTAAATAACAGAGTTTATGTAATATGTCGCCCAACGGTATCTAGAGCGTGCTGTCAGATATAGGTAAGTAGAGTTATTTGTCTCCCATACAGTATACCAGCATTATCCTTTCTCGTCAACAAGAAAGGTATTGTATTTTAACCAACAGGACACCTTAGCAATGAAAATTCAAATTGCTCAGAAAAATGATATCTTTTAAAATTAGAATAATGGTTTCTTTGTATAAGAGGAGAAAACATGAGCTAATTAAGTAAGATCGTAAATTCACATTCAAAGTGTATTCGATTGAAGAGACATGATGTAAATCATATATTTACTAGATATATTTTAGGGATTTGTGGTTAGTTTTTAATCTAGTAAAACGGTTTGATTCTTTGTGCTTGGGTCACACCCACAAAACGAAGAGATTGATACAGTTTACTTTTTCACGAAAAACAACAACCATATAGCAAATATCTTGACCCAAAAGATTATGCCTCAAAAGGCTAATTTTTTCATATTACTTTTTTTGATTTTATAAATAAAACAATACAAATCTCATTGAATTTTGACCTGATAAAATATTGAAAATGATAGAGAGTAGTAAAATCACAGACATGATGGCTTCATAAAAATATGAACCCGTCGGCCAGTCGTACCAGTGATAAAAATACGATACTCTTGTCATGCAAATCAGGCTTTCATGCCCTCGGTACTTCAAGCCAAATTTATCTCAAAAATTTTATTTGAAACGAATTCTAGGTTTTTAAATCTCAAATTCAGTTATGTTTGTGGCTAAGATCATTGACAGATAACATAGACCTTCAAGTTCATATAATGATTGGAGCAGATGACCTGGCCACAAGGCCAACATGCAAAAAAAAAGGGATTTAACAGTCACATTGTTGCTTGAATTTCAGCAAAATTCATATCACTTACTGTATATTATTATTGATGCTAAAATGATTCAATATATGTACATTAAAAAATGATCATTCATTTACATATCTCTTTTTCTCTACATAGTTTATTTTCTTTATTTTACAGCTAAATAACTAACCATCATTATACTGAACTCATATTGAAAAAAAAAATACAAATTATAAAAAGACTTTAAAATCAATTAAGGGGATTAAGACTTTGACTCTTTAATTCTCAAAGGATAAAAGTTGCTCTCATGCATATACCAGTTTAATTTATCATATTTTATAATTTAATATTAGTACTCTTCCACTTTAGATTCCAATTTTTTAATGATCAATATATGAAATTAGTTATTTGATAATAATAATAATAACTATCTTTTATTTAGCATCAATTCCGTTCAATAGCGCAGCGCACTGATTCTAAAAATAGCTTAAAGATTCGGACAAACATTGCACTCTGTTTAACCGCTATGAGGATTATATGAACCGATTTTATTATTTTTAATTAAAGTTACAATAATAACCCATGTCAACTAAGATCAACTGCAATTGGCTGTGAAAATTATCTGCTGAAAGTAAACTTGTAAGTTTGTTTGTCTGAATTTTGCCTTAGTCTTCGTTTTTATGACGTCGCGACTGCGCTGCGCTATTCAACAATGCTTTATTTTGTTTTATTTCCCACTTCTTCATGGGTAATTTACTGCTTTTACAATGACACATGTAATGAGTAAATAATCTAGAGTAATATTTTTTGATATAAACCTGTAGCATGGGGTACAACAGAAAACCAATTGAATATAAAGGACCGTTTTTGACCATTCCCTACCGTACATAATGAGATAACAGATGAAAGACATGGTGCTCATATATATAACAAAAAAGACCAATGAGAACATCTCTTGATAAAATAATTAGTAACAGGGTGGCTATGGTGACTGTGAACAACAGCAAATTACAGTAATGAATAAAAAAATAAATAAATGGGATTTAACAGTGGCATTTCTACAGAGTAGCTATTTATCCACTGTAATTCCAATTGGAATTTAGGAGTTGATTTTTGCAGAGGGAGGAAAGCCGGAGAACCTGGAAAACCCTAGAAGCACAGGAGAGAACCAACAAACAACTCTACTCGTGAACATACAACACTAGTTCTTCTAGAGTTCTTAATCTTGAGCACAAGGCTGTTTGATTGTGGACCGCTCTTAAACCCTTTTCCATTCTGTTATTGGTCACAATCTTAGAGGAGAATTTTGAATGAAGATTATTCTCTTAAGGGGATTGGCCTCTGTCTTGATAAAGGAAATCTCTGCTCAAACTTAAGAGGTCTATTTATCAGCGCCTAAGACAAGTACAAATTTATGTAGAATATCAGGAAATAGAACATCCATAAGTATAACCATAAGTGTCTGAAAAATCCATGTCATTCATTGTTTGTTTAGACTGCACGTATCATACACCTATTTCAAAAAACGTTGTCGCCACCAAAGGCAATAGACCATAAGTCATTCTGAGACTAACATTGAATCAGTTTCAACACTCAGATCCATGTTTTTTTTACGAGAATAAAAAGCATAAACTAAAGTTATTCCAGCTACATGCATTCTTGGACCTGGAATGACCTATCTCCTATCGCTTTTCGCCTATTGCCTATTGCCTTTGGCAAAGACAATGTTTTTAGGAAATAGATGTAAAGTTGTATATCTGTAGAGATCTATATATCCTCTACAATACATGTACATGTATGTATACAGCTGTATATTTGGTTTATAACTTCATGTTGCCTATTGTTTTTGGCAAAG